ATCTTTGTTCTTAAGGCTTTTATTTCCATTTTAATCTCAGACGAGAGATGGTGAAAGGGATATCAAGTGCGGCTGTAATTCCGGTGATGGGGAGTGGATATGGGAAGGGGAGGAAGAATGGGACAGAGGGAAGAGAAGGGATAGAGAAAAGGGAGGGAAAAAGGAGGTTAAAGAGAGAGAGAGAGAGGGGGGGGGTTGAGAGGTACGAGGAGGCTGAGGATAGAAGAATGAGAGGTACGAGGAGGCTGAGGATAGAAGAATGAGAGGTACGAGGAGGCTGAGGATAGAAGAATGAGAGGTGTAAGAAAGGAGATAAATTTCCGGTGTATGAGTTTCACATTCGCAGCAAAGAGCTAGGACTCGCCTAGCCGACTTGAGACTCGCCTAGCCGACTTGAGACTCGCCTAGCCGACTTGAGACTCGCCTAGCCGACTTGAGACTCGCCTAGCCGACTTGAGACTCGCCTAGCCGACTTGAGACTCGCCTAGCCGACTTGAGACTCGCCTAGCCGACTTGAGACTCGCCTAGCCGACTTGAGACTCGCCTAGCCGACTTGAGACTCGCCTAGCCGACTTGAGACTCGCCTAGCCGACTTGAGACTCGCCTAGCCGACTTGAGACTCGCCTAGCCGACTTGAGACTCGCCTAGCTGTTTGCTGGGAATGGAACCAAGCTCTTAGGTCCCGGCTATTAACCATTAACCGACTGGTGTGATTATTTCCAAGCTTCTGGTATGTGCTTAAAAGGGGTAGGCTCCACGTTGATGCAGTACGATATTACCTGCCTCCTCCATCTGTTCCCATTCTCAGTGCCTTACACTTGCTAGGGTTGAACTCCAGTAGCCACTAACGAACCATGCATGCTGCTTTCTCATGTCCTGCAGTTTTTTTTTTGGTACTCATCTTTCAATACTGTTGCCAGCATGATGTTTCATCCCTCCATCACGAACTCTCGACCATAAAACTCGTATCTTGCTTGACTTCCAAGGACTGCTTTATTCATTGGAGTAGCCAGGCTGTGACTCATACGTCAGGCTGCGAGCAGCCGCGTCTAACAGCCTGGTTGATCAGTCCAGCAACCAGGAGGCCTGGTCGACGACCGGGCCGCGGGGACACTAAGCCCCGGAAGCACCTCAAGGTAGCCTCAAGGTAGGTAGTAGTAGTAGGCATCCATCAGTCTCAGGAGACTATGGAGTTGCGCTCTGGTTGTCGGTCTGGAGTGGCCTCACCAGGGCGCAAAGCCAGGGTAGGTTGATATGGGTTATCTTGAGGTCATCTTGAGATGATTTCGGGGCTTTAGTGTCCCCGCGGGCCGGTCCTCGACCAGGCCTCTACCCCCAGGAAGCAGCCCGTGACAGCTGACTAACACCCAGGTACCTATTTTACTGCTAGGTAACAGGGGGCATAGGGTGAAAGAAACTCTGCCCATTGTTTCTCGCCGGCGCCCGGGATTGAACCGGGGACCACAGGATCACAAGTCCAGTGTGCTGTCCGCTCAGCCGACCGGCTCCCTAATACCCCTTCTAAATACAAAAGCCTCCTTTTCCATTGTATAATTCAGATGCCTGTGTAGCCTCGTATTACGTTTTTCTCTGTGTAAACGAATATCAAGTTAATCCGGGCATTGACTCGAATATTATCTGAAGGTACTGCACCGGAATATGAAGAAGATCAGAGCATTATATAAGAAGCTTTATGAAAGAATAGAAGTATGCAGTCGACCCAGCCGTCCCTTTCCTGTCTGACTCAGTCATTATACTGTGTTTTAAAATTTCATCAAGTCTGTGAGTCAGGATTTCCTTTCTCCTAACGCTTGCTTGGTGACGAAGTCTTTGCTTTCCAAGTTTGGTAGTTTAGAGCTTACTGTGTGAACTTACCTAGTTGTGCTTGAGCGGGATGAGCTTCAGCCCTTGGTTCCCGATCCTCAAACTTCAACCAACTGGTGTAGAGTTTTCTGATCCAACTGGTCTTTTAATTTATTTATGGATCATTTAGATATTTCTTGTCCAACTGCTCACGTACCACCACTTTTTTATTATGCACTCCATACCCATTCCGTGGGCGGTGGTGGAAAGGGTTGTGGATTTCACGCTGGCGCTGCATATACCAAAATTTGTCTGATATATGTGGTATACAAGATCCTGAACGGTTCCCTATTTAGACTGAAGTGAGCAGTTCTTAAGTTTGGTCAAACACAATCGACTTGAGAATGATCCAGGACGGACCGAAACGTCGTCGTCCCTTCACTTTCTAGTGTGTGGTTTGGTCAACAAGTTTGGTCAACCTTGCATATGCTGCTGATCATATCCGGTTGATGAAGGCTTCTGGAGATATTTCTGGTCTGATATCATACATTAATTTATTTTTATCTGTCCGCCTCCAAGGGTATTTCTACCTCCCATTTGGTACTTTTCGTCCGTTCTCCTGTTCACAGCATCCAACGTTATCACCTTGCACTTGCCTGAGTTAAACTCCAGAAGCCACTTTTAGGGTCATTCTTTCAATTTTTTTCCCCAAGTCGCGCACCATATTTATCCTCACAAATTTTGGACTCAACAAAACACTACGGAGATTCACCATTCACAGTAGTCAGGATCAGGACCGGTACTGACCTCACTGGTAACATCCCGCCACAGTCATGTCTCTTACTCACCGTGACTTGTCTTCCTGCTGACTATGTACTCATCCATTGGAGTGAATATACTCTTCTTTTATTCACTTATTTATGTTATTATTTTGGCCATATTGTCTTTAATTTCATGCTCATTGTTAGGTCTATGTGATCCAATCACAATACTGTATTCCTGACCTTTAAAAATAAGATCTTTTTACACTTGTAATAGTCATCGACAGTGCATTACTGTACTCACCTATTAGTGTTTGCGGGGGGTTGAGCTCTGGCTCTTTGGTCCCGCCTGTGTGTTCCCCCTGGTGCCAGAGTCACCAGGACAGGCCACTCATATGCAAGTCCCATGCTCATATGCAAGTCCCTGTCCTCATTTTCAAGTCCCTATCTTCATTAAAAAGTTAGCACTCTCTCCTTTCAAATTTCCTACTTTCATTTACAAACTTGTAAATTTATTTTCAAGTTCCTACCCTGATTTTAAAGTTCCTCCCTTCATTTTCAAATTCTTACGCTCATTTTCAGATCTTTCTCTTAAATTTTTAAGTCTTAACTCTAATTTAAAAGTACCTACACTCATTTACACAACCTTATACTTATTTACAGGCTCCCTGCCGCTATTTACAAGTCACTGCCTTATATCCAAGCCACTCCTTCATTTTCAGGCCTCGCCCCAGTTATTAAGCCTCACCCCACACCAGCTGCTGCGAGGGTGTGGACAGATACATCTGTGTTGAATGAGATGTACGCAGTCACACCACGCAGTCACACCACGCACTCGCACACGCACTCGCACACGCACTCGCACACGCACTCTCTTTCGCACGCATGACTGCGCACATTCTCTATTTGTAAACATGTTCGTACATTCGTACGTATACCCACTTGAACATTCATATTCACAAATGCAGTCATATACACCCGCACATACATTGATGAATGATGATTGAAAGGCAAAACCAAGTAAGTAATTATCAAAAGAAGGCGCCAAGCCTGGGAGACTATGTAGCAAGAGGCAGGACCAAAGAGCCGAAGCCCAACCTCCGTTAGCGCAACTCAGTGAGTGTACACACACATAGGTAACAAGGAGACGTTCCACAGGGCTCGGTGCTAGGGCCTATTCTATTCCTCATACATGTAAATGACACTGAAAAGAGGAAATAGAATCATTCAAGTCACTGGATGTGGACAGCTGATGAGGAGACTTTAGAATTTATTTATTTATTTATATACAAGAAGGTACATTGGGTTTGAGAGAATACATAGCAGAGTATTTACAATCTTGTAAAGTCACTAGTACGCGCAGCGTTTCGGGCAGGAAGAATCTGCCCGATTCTTCGAAAATAAGAAAGTATTCTTCAGAATCGAAGAATACTACAAAGTAATGAAGATAGGAGAGGAGGGAAGTAGCCCACAGAGGCGGTAAAGGCTAAAATAGAGACAACTTCTGGAAACAGAAAAGGAGAAAGATCTAGATTATACACCTCCAAATACGGCACATGAGGAAGACGTTGTCAAAATATCCTCTGCAGAATATATGAAATGTCCGAGTAGCTATCAGGTTCTTAGATTAAAAGGTCTTCAAAACAATTTATGCAAAGCCAACATTTCAATATATGCAGGCCCGACCTGGAGTCCCCCGCCTGAAAAAGTACAAAATAAAACTAGATTTGCAAGTATTTACCTACTTAAAATGTTCTTAGAATAAGGACCTGCCCGAAACGCTGCGCGTACTAGTGGCTTTACAAGAATGTAATTACTATGATATGTATCCTCACAATCCCAATGTACCTTCTTGTATATAAATAAATAAATAAAAAGAAATTTCAGAAGATGCGACAAGAATAAGAAATTGAGAGGAATTAACAGAGTGAACAAAGAGGCAATGTTCAAGATGAGAAGCGGTAGTACCAGGGGACACGGGTGGAAGCTGGGGACACAGATGAGCCGGATGGATGTCAGAAAACACTTCTTTAGATTAAGAGTTGCAAGTGGAATGGGCTACAAGAAGAGACTGTCGAGCCGAGCTCAATAAACAATTTCAGAATGAAGTATGACGCGAAATCTGAAGAATAAAAGTCATTGCTCTGATAATGGGTCAAAACAATGACCCCGTCTCCTTCCACCACACACACACACACACACACACACACACACACACACACACACACACACACACACACACACACACAAACAATATATTGCACCATACAAAGAAAGTGGTAATCAAGTGGAATGAACTCAGAGCAAATACAAAACCATATAAACATAAAAATAACACAACCCCCGAATTCTAAACATAAACAAACTGCAACAATAAACACCTAAAATCATATACCAAGTGTCAAAATGAAACAAGAGACGAATATAACGTAAAAAAAAAGAGAAGCGGTGTGACGTAAGCTATAGTGTTATCTTACCGCTGACACCTGTTTAGCGTGGCGGAGTGGTGGCAGAGGCTTCGAGCACGCACCAGCCGCCACAACACCACTAGCACCCACCCAGGATACACAAGGTTATAGGCGCTCCACCTACTGTAAGTGTCTCTCCGTTCTCATTGTTTAATTTGCATCTAGAATATCCCAACATCTTTGTAAATATCACCTCATCCCTTTGTGTGTATTTTACCTCAATAAACTTATTTCAATTTCAATTTCAATTTCAACATCTTTGTAGTGTTGAATTTCATACGTTATGTAAATATAGTGTTCCATTCCCGATGTTTTGACTCTAAGCGGTTTGCAAAGTTTTAAACGTTATTGTTTGCGAAGTTTTAGATCTAACAGTTTGCTATTTTTTAAATCTAACATGACCTGTGATTTAGAGAAAAGATATTTCACTGTTTTGACATAGTTTGCCAACGGCCATACCACGTTGAGAACGCCGCTTCTCGTCCGATCAGCGAAGTTAAGCAACGTTGGGTTTGGTTAGTACTTGGATGGGTGACCGCCTGGGAACACCAAATGCTGTTGGCAATAATGTTTCAGGAGGCCTGGTCGACGACCGGGCCGCGGGGACACTAAGCCCCGGAAGCACCTCAAGGTAACCTCAAGGTAGTTCTTAATGATTAAATCCCAACCTATTATATAATAATAATTTGCTTATAATAGTATAGCAAAGGTATAATTATTAGTACAGAAAGGTTGCACATTATATGAAGCCACTACTAGACAAAACACTTTGGGCAAAACTTAGAATAATTCAAAGAAAATTATTAATAGATATAATGGGGGTAAACACCATATACTAAATTAGAAGTAAATCAGTATTAACCATGAGGGAGATTCCACCCTGCACACTGGCTACTCCCAAACACACGACTAAACCATTAAGCCATGATATGCTAAAGAGTAACATACCATAGGGCCTCGTAGCCTGGTGGATAGCGCGCATGACTCGTAATTCTGTGCCGCGGGTTCGATTCCCGCACGAGGCAGAAACAAATGGGCAAAGTTTCTTTTACTCTATGCCCCTGTTACCTAGCAGTAAATAGGTACCTGGGAGTTAGTCAGCTGTCACGGGCTGCTTATTGGGGGTGGAGGCCTGGTCGAGGACCAGGCCGCGGGGACACTAAAAAAATGCCCCGAAATCATCTCAAGATAACCAATCTCAAGATAACCATGGAATTCAACTGAATACTCTAAGGGTTCCTGAGGAGGAGTTCAGTTGCATCCCAAGTTACATTACTTTATAGAATATCGCAGCCTAATGGTTTAAGGCGTGTGCTTTGGAGTACCCAGTGTGTAGGTTCGAATGCTCTCCATGATTTCTCTTCCCATTGTCATGAGAAAGGGGCCGTCTTAACAGCATTGAAGGCCCTGAACAAGGCAATGCACTTGGGCCCCTACCCAGATGATGGATACTGGGCACTGGGCCCTCTACTCAGATGATGGGGCCCCTCTCCGTCCATTAAAAGGCAAGATTGCCGTTAGATAGTTATGCACAAATTATTTTTATTATCAATATAATTTGAAAAGGGACTTCAATCTCAGGCATTTCCAGCGAAAGGTAAAGTAATTACCCACTCTGCCAAGACATCTCTCATGCGCAATATGGTAGCATGAGACCCTTAAAATCGTGGGCCCATGCGTTAACCAGTGTGCCCATGCGTTAACCAGTGTGCCCATGCGTTAACCAGTGTGCCCATGCGTTAACCAGAGTGCCCATGCGTTAACCAGAGTGCCCATGCGTTAACCAGTGTGCCAATGCGTTAACCAGAGTGTCCATGCGTTAACCAGTGAGCCCATGCGTTAACCAGTGTGACCATGCGTTAACCAGTGTGCCCATGCGTTAACCAGTGTGCCCATGCGTTAACCAGTGTGCCCATGCGTTAACCAGTGTGCCCATGCGATAACCAGTGTGCCCATGCGTGAACCAGTGAGCCCATGCGTTAACCAGTGTGCCCATGCGTGAACACGGCACTGCTATGGGAGCTTTACTTATACATCGAATGTAAAGAGTTGAAAACAGGCGAACAGTTTTGGAATTCAATAAATAAAATAATTGTAAAAATTATAGAACCCCCACACATCAAAACACCCACAAATCTGCCATCACTAACACCAACTCAACAATGTACCCATCGTAACTCATCATCCTAAACCATCAATGCTCTCACTATCAGCCAACTCAACTCATCCACCATCCGTATTTCAACCCTCTGGGTGAGTCTGGCAGAATCGTACGCACAAGAAATATCATGGCATAGATGATGTGTGTGGCTGTCATCCACTGTATCACTATTTTGTTTACAATCCCCCCTGTACCTATAGATTTTACAATCTCCCCTGTATCTATAGACTTTACAATCCCCCTGTACCTATAGACTTTACAATCCCCCTGTATCTATAGACTTTACAATCCCCCTGTACCTATAGACTTTACAATCCCCCTGTATCTATAGACTTTACAATCCCCCTGTACCTATAGATTTTACAATCCCCCTGTATCTATAGACTTTACAATCCCCCTGTATCTATAGACTTTACAATCCCCTGTATCTATAGACTTTACAATCTCCCCTGTATCTATAGACTTTACAATCCCCCTGTATCTATAGATTTTACAATCCCCCTGTATCTATAGACTTTACAATCTCCCCTGTATCTATAGACTTTACAATCCCCTGTATCTATAGACTTTACAATCCCCCTGTATCTATAGCCTTTACAATCCCCCTGTATCTATAGACTTTACAATCCCCCTGTACCTATAGACTTTACAATCCCCCTGTACCTATAGACTTTACAATCCCCCTGTACCTATAGATTTTACAATCCCCCTGTATCTATAGACTTTACAATCCCCCTGTATCTATAGACTTTACAATCCCCCTGTATCTATAGACTTTACAATCCTCTGTATCTATAGACTTTACAATCCCCCTGTATCTATAGACTTTACAATCCCCCTGTATCTATAGACTTTACAATCCCCCTGTATCTATAGACTTTACAATCCCCCTGTATCTATAGACTTTACAATCCCCCTGTATCTATAGACTTTACAATCCCCCTGTATCTATAGACTTTACAATCCCCCTGTATCTATAGACTTTACAATCCCCCTTTTCACACGCCCTCTTTACTTCCTTGTTTACCTGCCCCTCTCTTTTCAAAGGTTACTTACCATCTAAACGCTAATCTTCAATTTTGTCTTAGAATGATGAAGATGCCAGTGAGGGCGGCGATGCTGGTGACAGTGGTGTTGGGTGTGGTGCAGGTTGGCTGGTGCTTCGTGCCGACCCACAACCAGCTCACAAAGACCCTGACCCCAACCACGGACTGCAGGGATATCAAGTAAGTGCTCCTCAGACGTGGTGAGGAGCGATGACGTTTCGGTTCGACCTGGACCATTCTCAAGTCCTATAATCTATGGTCTGTATTGACCAGACCACACACTAGAAGGTGAAGGGACGATGACGTTTCGGTCCGTCCTGGACCATTCTCAAGTCCTATGTTCTATGGTCTGTGTTTATACGTGTATGCCCACCAGGCCAATCATATGGTGCAATGTGGTTGGGCTCGTGGGTGAGTGTATTATTGGGTCGGCTGATGAGTGGGTGGACTGAGTGGGTATACTGGTGTGCATGATGAGTGGGAATATTGGTGGGTGGGATAAGTGGGTGTATTGGTAACTGGGGAGGACTGGTGAGTGGGTATTGGTGGGTGGGGGTAATATCTGGGTGCATTGGTGGACAAGTAAATGAATTTGTGGTTTCTTGTGTTTATGTGTGTGGAGATCGAGATACAGCTCTTGACTTCCGCTATCAGGTACAAAGTGCCATTATTCCTCAAGACTTTGCAAATACTTGACCGTATTTGCTTTGAAGTTATTGATGGAGGTGACGCCCCAAGACCTCTACTCCCAAGTCGTCCATCTTCCCTACCACCCCTCACTGCGTATGAGAATGTGCGTCCCTTTTAAATCATGTTTCCTAATTCCACCTGAGCCCCACTTGCTCTCTTTCCCCTCATATGGAACAGACAATCCAGCTCCGAGAACACTTCGGTTCCCCTTCCTTCTCCCACCAGACGACATCCCTCCCGACACCTATTCCCTCACATCCACGTCCTTTCCCTTCCTATTCCTCGCCTTCCACCAGCCACACTCCTCATGTGCTCACATCTTTCCCTATAGGTTTACTGACCCTTCGCGGCGCAGCGCAGTGAGGGAGTCGGTACTGCGCGCCATGTGTACCAAGGCTGCGCCGCACCTTGATCTCACCGACAAGATCAAGCAGTTCGCTGTCTTCCTCCTCCAGCGCGATGACTTCGATGACCAGGCCAGGTGGCACTCTGGTGAAGCAAAGGTGGGTAGAGGTTGCACTCAGGTGAAGCAAAGGTGGGTAGAGGTTGCACTCAGGTGAAGCAAAGGTGGGTAGAGGTGGCACTCAGGTGAAGCAAAGGTGGGTAGAGGTTGCACTCAGGTGAAGCAAAGGTGGGTAGACGTTGCACTCAGGTGAAGCAAAGGTGGGTAGACGTTGCACTCAGGTGAAGCAAAGGTGAGTAGATGTGGCCCTTTCCCTAAAATTTTCTCTAGGTGTGTACTCACCTAGTTGTGCTTGCGGGAGTTGAGCTCTGGGCTCTATCATATCTACATTTGAAACTGTGTATGGAGTCAGCCTCCATCACATCACTGCTTAATGTATTACATTTGTTAACTACTCTGACACTGACAAAATTCTTTCTAATGTCTCTGTGGCTCATTTGGGTACTAAGTTTCCACCTGTGTCCCCTTATGCGTGTTCCATCCGTGCTAAATAGGTTGTCTTTGTCCACCTGTCAATTCTCCTGAGTGTTTTGTAGGTGGTTATCATGTCTCCCCTTACTCATCAGTCTTACAGGAGCGTGAGGTTTAGCTCCCTTAGCCTTTCCCCG